GGGGGGGGGAGAAACGTGAGGGGGGAAAAGCGCGCGCGAAGGAGCGATCGACGCGGGGAGAACGTTTTCTTTTTATCGGAGCGTCTCGCTTGCTTCGGGTAACGTCCGCTTGCGCAAATTAACCCGGCGATAGATTTAACCCTTATCCGGCCGAGCTATTTTTGTAACGCGGTCGGCCGGCTGGTCGACAGGGTGTATCGCACCCTGCGGCTTGAGAGCACGATTCCGATCGTTTCGGCGCCGCGATTTAACTTCCCCGAGCGTTCTCTCTCTCTCTCTCTCTCTCTCTTCGAAGTGAAAACCAAGCGGGAGGATCTCGCAGCCGCGATCTGGCACGCAGATATTCGAGACGAGAGCTTCGTTCCGATCGATGTTCGCGTCTCCCGCGCGCGCCAGCTTCACTCGCTGCAGATAATCCGTCTGTTAAATATTAATCAATGCCCACTCCACCTCGATAATATTACGGTAATAGTTTTTCCCCGCAGCGTAATACTTTCATCGCTGCGTTGAAAAGAATAATATTGTCGCGGCTTTAAACGCGTGTAAATGCATACTGAAACGTCCCCCCTTCCTCACCCGCCGTCGTGTGATAAAAGAAACGTTAAAGCAGCTAGTTTCTCGCGATCTCGCCGTGAAGCCTCTTATAATGCGAGGCTCTGTGCAGTAGCTTGTTCGACTTGCATGCAAATCCGTTCTTCGAATTAATCCCTCAGAGAGTGTAGCGGGAGGTGTATTTTCTCGGTCCTGAAAGAGCCGTTTTAAAGGCGAGTTTCCCAGAGCGGCACGTCGCGCTTGTCTCGCAAAGTTGAAAAAAGAGGAGGGAAGGACGCGACGCAGGAAACGTCTCGCAGAGAGTTACATCGCTTTCGAACGTTGGGAAATCCAACGCCCATGCTCGAATCAATGTTCACCTTACCCGTTAACGGAGAAGAGCGATCTCTCTTTTCTCCCCCTCCCTTTTTCATCGCCGGCTGTATTTTCGAGCACGTAGCAGCGCGTACGGGAATGTACGCGCGCGGCACGCGTCTATTCGCACGCTGTCATACGGGGAGGTATGCGCGGCACCTCGGTTACAATATGTGCACGTCGCCTCGCGATGAATCGAGCGGGATAAAGGGTGAGAGAACGAGACACGGTGAGAAAGCGCCAATGGAACAAAGAGGAAAGCCAAGCGCTCTCGCGACGTGGCGTTGGGAGAGGAAATCGCCGATGCGCGCTGTAATAACAACTCGGACTACGCAGTGGCGTAACGAAGCGCGGCGAAGAATTTCCAGAGCGCCTTGGTGAAGGGGTGAAGGCGATGGGATAACAAAACGAAAAAAAAAAAAAAATGGCAGGCAGAAGGAAAACAGGGCGAAAGAAAGTGGGGAAGGGCGG